CCCTCTGGCTCAGAGCTAGGGATACTGCTACTGCACCACAAGAGCCCATACTTACAATTCTACCACTGAACAACCAACACAACTAGGAGTCAGTGTGTGGAAAGTCCTCTGAAAGATTATCCGCATTTTACATCACATGACAAGGGATCACAATAGCTCAGGAGATTAATTATTCTACTTGGAAGGTCATGAGCAGTTCAGTGAGGGATGAAGCATTAACGTTTAAATTCTCATTTCAAACTTTAATAGCAATGAGATGCCAATCAGCTCATTCACTGAATTTTTACCCACATTTTAGTGTCAAACACTATTTAAAAAAAAAATATTGGAAAGTCCTTAGGAACTCATATCAATTTCTCCTTTGAGAGGATTATAACTCTGATCACTATTAAACTAACCTGTTTATCACTAGCATCAGTTCATAAAACACAACATGGATCCTGAGCTGAGTATATCTTAACTCATGATTTCTAACTGAGAACACCACCTTTAGAATGACCATAACATAAATTTACACTGAATTTTACAGGACTGTTCCGCTAACATTGAAGGATCAGCTGTTTAAAATTCAGTCATACTGCATAAAGAGGCCCTTTAGCCCATCGAGCCTGTGCCCTTCTGTCACCACTAGCCCCACTTCCCAGCACATGGCCCATAGCCTTCAATGTTACGACAAGGCTAGCATTGTTTTGGGGTTACAGTACAGCCAAGGATTACATTTTAGATCTTAAAGGGGAACCAGGGAGTCTTTGATGTCAGCCTTCTGTATCTGAAGATGTCCTAACAGGTTCTTGTTGCTGACCCACACTTTTGATAAGACATCCCAGCAAACAGTGGGTGGTCCTTCGGGCAGCTGGACAGGTTTGCAGAGGCTACATGTTCACAGTCCAGCTTGGCTCAGTTGGTGGTGTTTGTGAATCTTTCATTACCAACATACCATTGAAGAGAACTGAACTGGACTAGCCACAGAAATACCATAGCTATAAGATCAGCACAGAGGCTAGGAGTCTTGCAGTAGTAACTCACCTCCTCTCTCGCCAAAGCTTGTCCACAATCGACAAGGCACAACTCAGGAGTGTGATGGAATACTCCCCACTTGCCTGGATGAGTGCAGCTCTAAGAACATTCAAGAAGCTTGACACCATCCAGGACAAAGCAGCCCCTGCTTAATTGGCACCACATCCACAAACATCCACTCCCTCCGCCACCCACGTTCAGTCGCAGCAGTGTATACCATCTATAAGATGCACTGCAGAAATTCACCAAAGAGCCTTAGACAGCACGTTCCAAACCCCCAACCACTTCCATCTAGAAGGACAAGGGAAACAGATACAGGGGAACACCACCCCCTACAAATTCCCCTCCAAGCCACTCATCATCCTAACTTGGAAATATATTACTGTTCGTCAGTGTCACTGGGTCAAAATCCTGGAATTCCCTCTGTAAGGGCATTGTGGACTGCAGTGGTTCAAGAAAGCAGATCACCACCACCTTCAAGGGGCAACTGGGGATTGGTAATGTATACTAGCCCAGCCAACGATGCCAAAATTTCATGAATGAATTAGAAACAATTATTTCATGGGATGTAGGTGTTGCTACAAAAGCCAACCTTTGCTGCTGATCTCTAACTGCCTTCACGATAGAAACACATGCTTTCTTGAAAAATTCTTGGAATACGATACAGCAATGGGCTTGTTACACATGATTGTGCTCAAACATGATTCTTAAAGGTTACGGATGTAGAGCAGTACTCAGAAATTGCCTGTTAAAACACAAAGTATGGTTTCCAAAAAGTGGCTCCTTGAAGCAAAGGTTTAAGTTACAGTTTGTTACTATCACAGTGAACATGGGCTATCAACATTCAACTTTCAGCACTTGACTTTAATACCCAAGAACTTTAATGGACAACAAATGGGTTACACTAGTGATTTAAAATGGCTGCTGTGATCAGCTGACCACCCAGGCAACTACTTGCAATATACAAAACCATTTGTACTGGAATAATCAAGAGATTAAAATCAAGAGAAACTAACATTCAGTGAAGTGTCAAGAAATCCGCATATCTTATTTTACTCACATTTGGATAATAACTTCACAAATTGGAGATGAAATATTACCTGTGAATCATTTGTTTTGAAAAAGACAGTGGAGTTAGAATTGGAATATACAAATGAACCATAATTCAGTAATAGGGAATACTGGAGAAACTCAGCAGGTCTGGCAGCATCTGTGGCCAGAAAAACAGCTGATGTTGAGTCTGGTGGCTCTTCATCAGAGCTGAAAGTAGCTCCTTTCTGTCATACTGGATTTGAAACATTAACTCTATTTCTCGCTCCACAGATGCTGCCAGAGCTGCTGAGTTTCTCCATCATTTGCATTTGTTTCCGATCTCTAGCATCTGCAGTATTTTGCTTCCATATTTCAGCAGCTTATTTTGAGAAATAAGGCTGAGGGAGAAAGTCACAGACTGACAACAGCAAGAATACTGGAAGTTCTTCTATCACTCAATCTCAAACACTAGCCAATAAAAACAAGTTGATGGAACAAGGACAACTACCAAGAACACCAGGTCGGCTCCAACTTTGTCCTTATAGAGTAAACAAGACAGCAACTAAACAGCTAGGCTCAAATCTATCTATTCTCACAACTAAGACACTTGAGAAAACAGTAAACACTAAGTTTGTTATCTGTTGTGTGTATTTGTCACCACAGTTAATTATTTTTTCAGGGCTGTTGGTAATTAAACTCATCCTCACCTAGTTGTAACAGGTACAAAGGTATACACAGTCCTTTTTCTAATACTGGCTCCAAAAGCAGCTTTGGAAACCAAAAAAAACTCTCAAAATTCAATGGGGATTTCCTTACTGACATGAGACAGAATTTTAATGTAAAAACAGGTTATTGAGCCCAACCAGTCTGTGTTGGTGCTTGTTCTCCTTAGAAATAGTATCCTAACCCCATATCTTACACTATTAAAATTTTACACTATTATTCCCTTTTCACATGAACCTAGAAATAGGTAGTGGCCAGTTTTCTGAACATTTGTCATATTGTGCCAAATGTTTCCTGACATCTCCCCTGAATGGCCTGCCTCTAATTTGAAGGTTCTGCTGCATTTTTCTGGACTCCATCATCAACAGAAATAACTCCTCTCTACCTGCCTTACTGAATCATTTTATTATCTTAAACATTTTCTAGTGAGTATCTTTTCAGCCCTGGTGAATTCTAGTGAATCTCAGTTGTAGCCACACTAAAGCCAGTCTAAGCTTTGAGCTCCAGATCCCAGAACTGAATACAGTCTGGCCTCTAACAACAGTTTTATGTAACTTCAACCTCTATATATCTAGCTCCCTCTTTTAAAGTCTACATTCCATTAGTTTTTAATTTTTATTTATGTGTTCACTAACATTCAGTGATGCCTGTACTTAGACCTATAAATCTCTCTGCTCCTTCACTATTTCAGTTTCTCAAAGTTTTAACTCCCCGGATGCTAACTTCATATTTTCCACTGGATTCCATCTATCACAGTTAAACTTCCTTTTCTGATGAAGGGTCTAGGCCTGAAACGTCAGCCTTTCTGCTCCTATGATGCTGCTTGGCCTGCTGTGTTCATCCAGCCCTGCACCTTGTTGTCTCTAAACTTCGTTAACGTTCCTTTGCAACTTTCTGCTCCCATTGACATAACATATTGCGCCTTGTAATATTTTTATTCATTCACGGGATGAGGACACTGTTGGCTAGGCCAGAATGCATTGCCCATCCCTAGTTGCCCAGAGGGCAGTTCAGAGTCAACCACATTGCCGTGGGTTTGGAATCACATGTAGGCCAGACCAGGTAAGGATGACATTTTCCTTCCCTAAAGGACATTAGTGTTTTTCCAACAATTGGCAATAGATTCAGGGCCATCATTAGACTCTTAATTCCAGATTTTTTTTAAAATTGCATTCAATTCCACCATCTGCCATGGTGGGATTTGAACTCAGGTCTCCAGAACATTATCTGGGTCTCTGGATTAACAGTCCAACGATAATATCACTGGGCCATCACATCAGTGAGCAATAGATACATTTGGATATGGATTCCCTCAGCCTTTTATAAAGACAATGAATTCCTGAGGTTCCAGTGCAGGCTTCTGAGGAAGACGACTAATCATATCAGCCAGTTGGAGTATGGACTATTAAACCGACTCTCTTGCCCAATTTCCTAATTGGGTTACTTCTAATTTCTCTTACCTGTGTTCTGTCCTTTATGCAGAACTAACTTTATATGACTATATCAACAGGTACTCCCCTAATGATCACATCAAACAGGAAACAATATTAACAAAGTGGTAAGGATATTAGTGATGGCTCAATGACCTATCTATTTGGTTCGCCCTCTGCTTGTGTCCAAATGGAATGATATCTGAGGTGTGTGAGAGCTAAACAGTATCATGAAGTTTGTTTAACCCCCACAGCTCAATTCTAACATTCCAACGAGGCCAGGTCTAAGCAGAGCTTCTCTCCTGGATCAGGTTGGGGGTCATTGTGCTTTCCTGAACACAACATACCCAGTGCACAGAAAACCACGAGAGACTAACCAACTACAAAAACTGTCCTTATCAAAAAGTGATCATAGAACAATGTGGACATCTTTCTACATTCCAATGATACATTCACAAACTTCCTTCAGGAGAATTACAATCCACTCCATTTTTCTCTCATCTCAGGGAAGTTAGCCAATGAATGACAGGAGAAAGAGCTCATCAGCCTGTGATCTTACAACTCAGACCTGACTGATTGCAGTAGCTTTGAGAATAGAGACTGTAATTATACCTTAAAGCCTCCTAAATGGATCTTATCCCTGGATTGTGTGAATACCATCAATAAATTAAAAAAAACAGATGTGTAGTTCTGGAGGCAGGATGACAGCTCTGGGGAAGTATGAGGGAGGGGTGGGGGTGTCTGCGAGCTCAGCAGAGGAGGGGCGATGGGGGGTTGGTGTTGGGTTCCTGTTCTTACCAGCCTGGTTGCAGGGTGATGATGTCATTGTCAACTCAAAGGCCAAATCTAGAAACAGAGAAAGTGAAACATTTTAGGAGAATATAATATTTTTTAAAAACTGGTGTTAGCATGACAAAATGGAATTAGATCATTCTTTATCTTCAGGATACAGTAGATCACTTCTAGCACACACATAGCCAGCAGTGGATCAGATCCAACTTGTTCACACCTTCTGGTTAAGATTGCAGAGATTGTATCAGTTTCACTGGATCTAGAGGGTCAATCACCAGTGGTTGGGAATGGATTGATCTGTGTGACGTACCTGAACAGTGCTGTTGCAGTTTGCGGATTTCAGTGTGTAGCCCCCTCAGTGTACTGGCATGTTCCTGCTGTAAGAACAGCAGGTTCTTCTGGGCACTGTGCAACTGCATCTCCAGGTTTGACGTTGCCATGGTGCAATTAAGTGACCTAAAGGGGAAAGAGCACCACCGTCAGTGCCTAGCACAAATCACACAATCAGATCCATAATTCACCAGAATATCAATGCTGTCCCATCCAGATACTCTCTTGCTGCTTTAAAAACTGCAAATATTATCAATTCTCCACACACAGATGCACAATGATTGTGGTTAGAGTTGAAAAGTTATCAGCTTTCCAAATAAAAACAGGAGTTAGCTGGCCTAATGGGCTGAATGGCCTACAGTTGCTCCTATTTCTTATAGTCACATGGAAGGTTTAAGCTGAGCGCACAGGTGACATTTTATGAAGTGTACACTGTCCAAGAATTTGTTAGACTACAAGCACAATGAATTAGGCCAGATTATCTCTAAGTGGACAGTGATGTAGTGTTTATTTCTGTAATAATTCAGATTATGAGTTTAACTTACATCAGGCAAGTTTGAGAATTATGTTTAAAAACTCTGATGATCTAAAGCTGGTGTCATTAAAAGTGAACATGAAGCTGTCGGATTGTTGTCAAATCAAACAAATTTACATAAAGGCTCAGTCTGGGTAAGGACATTGGTGACTGAAGGTGCACACCAGCAGCTTAACTCTTAATTGCCTTCCGATGTTGTCTCAGAAATGGCAGGAGTATCCAACACGTCCCAAAAATGACTAAAATAACACAAACTAGATAATCCTCAACTGATTACAGTTCTCCAACACGTCAGATCTCAGGTTCTCTCCTGAGGGAGTTTCTAATGTTGGAAATAACAGTGTTTTACAGCGAAGAGGCTTAACTCTGAACGTAATAAAACAGCAACACAAACTTCACCCCCTGTACCTGCCTCCAGCCCTCACCCCTTCCCTCAATATCCCAATTGTTTGAGTTTGAACTTGAACTAAACTAAAAGATTTGCTTTCATCTGATACGCCACAGGAAATTCTGTGTGCTAGCCTGTGTCTCTCACCTCCAATTTGCTGCCTGGATAAACCTGGTAACAAGAGAATACAGCATCTTGACAATAACCAGGAAACAAGAACAAAGCCACTGCAAACTGAGATATTTAAACAAAACCCTGGGCTTCAATTAGAACTTTAAAATAAATCCTGTGTTTCATTAGTGTGTGCTTCTATAAATCTAAAAAAAATGCTTACAACAATAAATCTGGTATTAGTTTTATCATGTTGCTACATTATTGATGTAGATTCTGTGCTCCTCCTGTAGTATTCATCTTACTTCACTGGATCACTCAACTACAAATTTCTAAATACTAACACTGAATGTAGCAAGCTCCAGGTAATTCTTGTATTATTTCCACATTATTATTTATGAAACAATCAGCCACAACGATGCCAAAATCCATGAAGGAATAAAGAAGACCCTCAAACTAGAGCTCAAAACAGAAACAGTGGAACTGAAACAGCGAGACAGTCTTGCCACATGGTATTTGTCCACAGACTCAGAGCTGACTGAAATTGTGGAGATTGGATTCTATCTAATTGGATATTGCCTGCAAAATGCCTGTGAATAAAGTAGAAAAACCAGCTGCCCTCCAAGTCTGGTCTCTTGGAGGATTGGGTTTAAGGTAAACACACTGACACTTATCTTCTCCATGAGGTCAGCTGAGAATTCTGTCTCTTTCTGCCACTCACCATCCTGACTTATAAATAAATCACTTCCTTCAGTGTCGCTGGGTCAAGATTCTGGAATTCCTTCCATAAGGACATTGTGGATCAACCTGTGTCAAATGGACTACAGCGATCCAAAAAGGCAGCTCATCACCACCTTCTTAAGGGGCGGCTAGGGATGGGCATAAACACTGGCTACCCAGCGATGCCATATTCTCTGAATTATATCAAAAAAAGAACACGGCCAGTTTCTGCGGTCTCTCCTCATAACCCAAGTCCTTAATTTAGTGATTTGTTTGCTCATCTTAGCTGCCCATTCTCTAAATCAGTTAGCCAGAACTATTAACATTTTGCGGGTGTTCGTTGACCAGAACTGAACTGGACTTGTGATATAAACATTGTAGCTACAAGACAAGATCAGAGGCTAGGGATCCTGCAGCAAGTAACTCACCTCCTGACTCCACAAAGCCTGTCCACCATCTACAAGGCACAAGTCAGGAGTGCAATGGAATACTCCAACAACACTCAAGAAACCTGACACCATCGAGGCCACAGGAGCCTGCTGGATTGGCACCACAATCATTGCCTTTAACATTCACTCCTTTCATCAATGATGCAGTGTACCATCTACTAGGTGCACCGCAGAAATTCACCAAGGTCCCTCCAACAGCACCTTCCAAACCTGTGACCACTACCATCTGGAAGAATAAGGGCAGCAGATACATGGGAACACTACCACCTGTCCACTTCCCATGACAATAATTTTAAAACTTGGATCTACATTTGCCATCTGTCATAATGAGATTTGAACTTGTATCCCTGATCCAGGTCTATGAATGAGATGGTCAGTATTATAACTACCCTGCAACAACATCTTGCAGCAATTAAAGATCCCAAGAGGCCTTAATTATTATCAAAAAATATAATAACAAGGCTTAGAAATAGATACTTGGATGGGTGATTAAAAATTTGAGCAACTTAAAGATGTAGAGAGAGGTTATGGGAGGAAATTTCAGAGTTTCAGACCCAGGACGCTGAAGGTACGCCATTAATGGTTGGACAAAGAAAATCAGGAGTGCATAAGAGGTCAGAGTTGGAAAAATTCAGAAGTACTGTACGTTTGTGGAATGGAGGAAGTCAGAGGGATGGGGATCTGAAAATAGTGATGACAATTTTAAAATCAAGATGTGATTACAGTTTGTGTTTCTAAAAACATTCCACTGGAATGCTGAATGAACCGCTGGTATTCTGCTTATAACTTTAATAACGTTTGTGTAACTACAGATCAGGATTTGTTCCATTTACTTCATGTAAACACAATCACAAAGATAAAGTCAGAAAATATTCAAAATTATACTACTCTTACAACTCCATTTATCCAAAAGATGAACACTGGAAACTCCAAATGGAACAAAAACAGAAGTTGCTGGAAAAGCTCAGCAGGTCTGGCAGCATCTGTGAAGAAAAAATCAGAGTTAACGTTTCGGGTCCAGTGATCCTTCCTCAAAAGCCTCTGAAACTCTAAATGGTTTGAGCAGCTCAAAAATGCCTTAAGTTACATTTAGACTGTTTCCTATGCAAAGCAAAACGGTTGAAGGACAGGAAAAATGAGCATTTCTTCTACTGATGTTGAAGCTGAATTGGTTTCTTGGCTGAATATTCGGCACACACGCTGCTCCCTATTGCTATAGCAATAACCTCCATGGAACTGTCAGCAAATATATTTAATTCACTGAGATTCAGGATCATGGTAGGAGATTGGCTTGCCAGTTCTACTATTATCATGAGATAACAAGGTGTAGAGCTGGATGAACACAGCAGGCCAAGCAGCATCAGAGGAGCAGGAAAGCTGACGTTTCGGGCCTAGAACGTTCTTCAGAAATGGACCTTGTTATCTCAGATTCTCCAGCATCTGCAGTTCCTACTACCCCTACTATTATCATGCATATTTACTGAAACACAATGTTCAAGGCCTGTCCAGCAAACCAAAAAAAAATCAAAAGCAAGTCAAATAAACTTTGGGCCATTGGATTCACTCAGTCACAGGCTCATGCTAACCATGATGTGGAGGTGCCGGTGTTGGACTGGGATGGACAATGTCACTAACGCCTGAAGAAGGAGCAAGGCTCAGAAAGCTTGTGTTTTCAAATAACCCTGTTGGACGATAACCTGGTGTTGTGTAATTTCTGACATGCTAACCACAGCAACAAGGCACTCTGCAACACTGCTCTTAATTGATCAACTTCAGTAAGTGTCCATGTTTACGGCAGTAGGAAAGCCTTTGACACCAAAAAGGCAGAATAGAACAGATACCCTGTCTGAGCCCTAGCAATAGGTATTCCGTGATGTTTACAGTGGCCTTATTTTCTAGGCAGACTAGCATCAAATGGTTTTCTCTCACTCTCTCTTGAAAGAAAAGGGAACTAGAGATAATATCACACGCTGACTCATGGCTGGTGGATGTTTCAGAATTTCATAGAATTATAAAATACATGGAGGCCAATCAGCGCATCGTGTCTGTACTGGCTCTCAAAATGAGCATGTCATCTCACCCCATTCTTTTGCCATCTTCTTGTACCGTGCATATTATTCCTTTTCAAATAAGATGATCTTTAATGTATAACTCATAACCATCCACGGTGTGAAAAAAGTTTCACCTCACATCACCTTTGTTTCTTTTCCTAATTACATTAAATCTATGCCCTCTGTTCTTGTACCTTTCAGGGGTTGGAACAATTTCTCCTTATCAACTCTGTCCAGCCCCCATTGGTCTTGATCACTTCCATCTAATCTCCACTTGGCTTTCTGTTCATCAAGGAAATCAGTCCCACATTCTCCAAGCTATCTTTATGTCCTTTAATTTGCTCCAATCCTACTTGGGCCCACGCCCACAACTCTTTGGTGCCACTTCCCTCTCTTGTCGAGGATTGTAAAAATTTATCAATTTCCAATATTTACCCTGCTCTCATCTTCACCTGGTCCCTCTCTGACTCTGCTCTCCCTTGACACCTCTGTTTCCATTTCTGGGATAGGCTGGCCACTGATATTCATTACAAACTCACCGGCTCCCTTAGTTACCTTAATGATACATCCTCACACCCTGCTTCCTGTAAAGACTCCCATTCTCCCAGTTCCTCTGTCTCCGTTGCATCTGTCCTGATGATGCCACTTTCGGTGGGGGGTGGTGGTAGTGGTGGAGAGTCAGAAAAGGGTGCACCTTTCTCCTTTACAAAGCATTCACCACTACTGTGGTTGACAGGGCTCTTAGCCACATCTGTCCTATCTCCCACATTTCTGCCCTCACCCTTTCTCTTCCTGTCCTTGCTTACCATCTCACCAGCATCCACATCCAGAGGATCATTAGCCACCGTTTCCATCATCTCCAATGGGATTCC